GAGAGGCAGAGACACAGGCAGAGGGTGAAGCAGGCTCCATACAGGGAGCCTGATGTGGGACTCGATCCCAGGACTCCAGGATCACACCCTGGGCCGAAGGCAGGCGCTAAACCGCTGAGCAACCCGGGCTGCCCTAACCTGTGTTATTTCTCATGAAAACTCTGTTTCATCCTTATCTTTGTTCCTCTTTATATAACTAGTCTTTTTTCCTCCCTTAGGTTTCTTTTACATCTTTCTCTTTATAATAGGTTTTGAAAGATGTGATTGTGATTTGTCTTAGTTTGGTGTGTTTTTTTAAAAAAAATCTTATGCTTGGGTTTCTTATGCTTGGGTTTGTTGAGCTATCTGGATCTGTGGCTTTATCATTTTCATCAAATTTGAGGAAAATTTGTCACTATTTCTTCAAATACTTGTTCTGTTCCTCTTCCTATTACCTCTTTTGGGACTCTAATTATTATGTTAAAGTTTTCCCCAATTTACTGATGTCCTATTCATTTTTACAAGTCTTTTTTCATCCTGTTTTATTTTGTGTAGTTTCTATTTTTATATCTTCAGGTTTGATCTTTCTGTTGTAGTGTCTAATCTAATGCTTTTTCCATTTAGTGTGTTTTTCCTCTAATGATTTGTAGTTTTCATCTCTAAAGTTGAAAATCGTATCTGATATATCTCTACTTATAACGTTCAGGCGCAGCTGTGTGGTTTAGTTAGTTAAGCATCTGACTCTTAATTTCGGCTCAGGTCATGATCTCAGGGTTATGGGATCAAGCCCAGTGTTGGGCTCCCTGTGCTCAATAAGAAATATGCTTGAGATTTACTCCCTCCACCTCTCCCCCCACTCATGCACGCTTTCTCTCTAAAATAAATCTTCAAGAAATATTCAGTCTCTTCTCTATATTTTTGACGTATGGAATATAAAATAATAATAATTTTTTCACTTTCATTGTCTGCTATTTCTAACCTCTTGTGTCAATTCTGAGTCATTTTGAATTGATTGATTTTTTTTCTTATTATGGTTTGATCATCCTATTTCTCTGAATAGCTCACATTTTTAAAATTCAATGCCAGACATTGTAAGTTTTGTCTTGATTGGTACAGGATATTTTTGCGGTTTTTTTTTTTTTTTTGTATATATTCTTTAGCTTTGTTATAGGATGAGTTAAATTACTTGGAAGCAGCTTGATCCCATGGCTTTTGCATTTGAGATGTTAGGTGAGATGATAGCAGTGTTGTATTCATTTTCTATTGCCGCTGTGACAAAATACAACAAACTTAATGCCTTAAAATGACAGATTTATTAGTTTACAGTAGTTTATAAATCCAAAATGGTTCTCACTGGAATAAAATAAAGATGTCTGTGTTTTTGTTTTTGTTTTTCTGGAGGCTCCATGGGATAATCCATTTCCTTGTCTTTTCTAACTCTTAGAAGCTATGCACATTCCTTGGCTTCAGTTTTCTTTTTCTATCTTCAAAACCAACAAGAGCAGGTTGAGTCCTTTTCATATTATATCACTCTGACTTCCCTTTTGCACTTATTAGATTGGGTCCATCCACCTGAATAATTCAGAGTTAACCCCCCCCCCCTGCCCATTTTAGGGTCAACTCATTAGCAAACTTAATTCCATCTGCAATCTTAGTTTCCTTTTGGCATGTGATCCAACATATTCATAGATTATGGGAATTAGGACATAGACATCTTTGGAGGGCCATTATTCTGCCTACCACAAGCATTTTGTTTTGGGTTAATTGTTCCCCAACTAAGGCAAGACTCTGCTGAGTATTGTACTCATTATTCCACAAATTATGAAGTTTACCAGGCTGGTAGGAGCAGAGACTATTCCTGGCCCTGTATGAGGTCTGGGTGCTATTCTCTTTATTCTTTCTGATGGTTCTTTATCTAGACTCAGAAAGTGTCTTTTTGCACGTGCATTGGTCAGTACTCTGCTGAATACACAAAGGTACTCTCTGCTGATTAAGTTCTATCTGGGTATCCTTGGGTGGCTCAGTGGTTTAGCGCCTGCCTTCGGCCCAGGGTATGATCCTGGAGTCCCGGGATTGAGTCCCACATCCGGCTCCCTGCACGGAGCCTGCTTCTCCCTCTGCCTATGTCTCTGCCTCTCTCTCTCTCTCTCTCTCTCTCTCTCTCTCTCTGTGTCTCTCATGAATAAATAAAATCTTAAAAAAAAAAAAAGCTCTATCTGTGTGTAGCTCTCTTTCCTTAGTACTCTACCCTGTGCTTCTAGCAGAGTTGGATTCTGAAGACTCTTAGCTCTGTGTCCTCAACTCAGGCAGTTCACCAGCCTGGAAATTCTCAAGGAAGTCCACTTAGGCAATTAAAGGGCTCATTTCATTTGTTTCCCATATTTCAAGGATCACTGTTCTTTACTGCTTGGTTTCACTGAAAACCATTGTTTCATATATTCCATTTGGATGGCTCATTGTTTTAGGTGGGAGGGTAAATCTAGTCCCTGTTATTTTGATGAGAAACAAAAGTCTCCTGGTTATTTTTGATTGGATATCAAATATTGTGACTGTTTACCTTGTTGACTGCAGCATGTCTTTGTATTCCTATAGATATTCTTTTTTTTTCCTAAACATTTTATTTATTTGGTAAAGAGAGAACTAGTGCATGCAAGAGTGTGCACTAGTGGTGGGGAGGGACAAAGGCAGAGGAAGAAGCCGACTTCCTACTGACTCTGAGATCATGACCTGAGCCAAAATTAAGAGTCAGATGCTCAACTGACTGAGCCACCCCTTTGTGATAGCTCTTAAGCATCCCATGTAAGTTCAGACCTCAGTAAGTATCCTTTGGGGAAAACTAACAATGCATCTGAAGTCCCTCAAGTTTTCAAGTCATCCCTTTATCACTACATGACAGTAAGAGCTTTGTTGGTTTTACTTTATCCCATCAGATATCCTCTGCCTGGGCAAAGTTCAGTCTTCAGTCCATGCGCAGCATCAGCAACTGCTACAGGGAATAACTAGTGATCTCAGTTCATCTTGGACAGTTCTACCTTGTTTCATGAACTTGAGTTCATCTAGACCTGGTTGCTGCTATAGTTCTCTTTTATAGCTAGAAGTTCTAAGCTCAGTCTGGCTCTTTATATAGGTAGATCCCTGGATTGTCAAATTCCTCTATTCTGTCCCCAGATATCCTAACTCTAGGTCACTCTCCTAGATAACCTATAAACCAGATCTGCTAATTGGGGGAGAAAAAGAAACACTATCTTCAGGTTGGCAGAAATGTTTCCATTTGTGGATAAAACAGAAAACCCCAAACATCCAAAATATCCTCAGCCTGTCTCCCGACCCCCCAAAATATTTTCTGAGATCCAACTGAATGCAACACCCTCCCACTACCTGATCTCAACACCTAACTTCTGTGTTGTGACCCAGAACTATTGTAATCTATAATGAAGATTTCTGGAAACAAGAACTAAGCTAGGGTATAGGTCATAGTTTTGAGGAATCAGTCGACCTGGGGTTAAGGCTTCCCCTGAGATCCAGCTACACAGGTCTGCAGTAATCTTGGTGGCTATTTCAGGGGCTTAGTATTCTTACCTGATGTTCTTATCATAATTTATCACGAAGGTGGGCTTTGGAAGCTGTAGTGAAGTTAAACTAGTTCAGAAGTAGTAGAGAAGTTTGTTAAAACCTGCTTATGGTTTAAACATATCATACATCATATGGATTTTAGGTCTTCTGACAGAGAACCTTGCCCTACTCCCTAGGAAGTCAATGAAAAGAGAAAACTCTCATGACAGAAGTCTCCTTCGGAGCACAATTGAGTGCCTGAATAATTCTAACTGGTAGGAGAGCATGGAGAAAATTCATCTTGAGCCAGTGTAAGTGCCCTGGGGCCAAGGAATGTGTTGAGGAAAGAGAGGAGGTACTCAAGACTTCTGCTGGATGAAGGAGGGAAGGGGAGAGATTCAAGATGTCTTTGAAGATCCTGTGTTATGACAGGACAGAGGACAAGGGGACTCTGGAAGGAATTTAAGACCCCAGCCAAGTGGGCCAGAGAGAAATGCTTCAGGAAGCACACACCAATGCAAGTTTGGGCTTTGATAGAATTCTGATGCCATGCCATTTCAGTGACCAGGGTGCATGTTTAGGAGAGCATTCTGTCAGAGGCTAGTCCACATCACATATGGCACTGTGCCTTGTCTGCAGTTAGTTTTTGATCTGCTCCTGGGGGTTGAGGTTAATGTTTGTTCTGTTTCTCCAACCACCAGTCTTCATCACTTGCCCCACTTCACCCCTTCATACTTCACTTCTCTCATCACCTCCTCTACTCTTTTCGCTAACCACTGCCAGTGTCCTTTCTCTGGTCTCCCTCAAAGAAATTTAACCCATGTTAGATGCTGTAGAGTGGCAAATACAGTGGAGTCTATGGTGTTTTAGGAAAAGTCCAGAGGTCAGCTATATAAGAACTCTGTGAAATAAAGCGATGGAAGCCAAAATTATCCTGTTTCCATCAAGAACAAGGAGAGTGATTATCTGTCAGAATGAAGCACATAATCTGCTTTCATATATAATGAAGTATCTGTCTGATAGTAAGAATAAGTAGGGAGGATCTTCATCCTGGATGTGCATTTGAATCATCTGGGGGCTTTAATACAGATGCCTAGATCCCTTATCAGATATTTCCATTTAATTAGGGATGAAGTAGTTGATGGGACATCAGTATTTTTACAGAACCTGCTAGGTGGTATGAATGTACAGATAGGGGTGAAAACCCTTAGTCTAGGGTCTCAGCAAATCTAGCACAGGATAACAGCTAAGTATGCAGATTTACAGAACATGCCAAATTTCAAATCACTGAGTTTGCATTCCTCTAGTTAATAATGGCATAGCCTGGAACAAAAAGAGAAGTAGCAGATGGATGATTTGTGTCCTACACCTACAACTTCTCTCTTTACCCAGAGGTGTTTGTGTGGTTCTGAGACTACCAAAGCAGATAGATCTTTATAATATAATTAGTGACCCATGAAGAACTCAAGTATTATTGCTGTATAATACTTTATTCAACAGTTTTATGGGAAAAAAAACCTCACATTTCTGTATGTGTTACATCACATAGTCCAGTAACAAATTACATTTGGGGAAAAGCTTTAAAATCCATTCTTGTATGCCAATCCTTTGTGGAATACCAAGAAGCAGCTCTGTACCTCAGCACTTAAAGGTTACAAAAAGCACCATTTAAAGGAGGATTCACGTATTTAATTCTCTTCCAAATTATAGTCTTATTCCCCTTTTATGACAGAGCTGCACTCATCCAAAATGCTTCAGTGAAATAATAACTAGCATCCTCCAATCTACCAAAATTCAAACAAGTCTCACATATGGGGCCCAGTGTGGAGATTAGGACTAACTGACATCAGTGAGCTTTGGCTGTTCTAAAACTGTAACCTAGGTAGGTAAATGTTCAGTGAATAGGAAAAGAAAAGAAGATGATCTGATCAAATACATAATATAATACTTATGGTAGGTAGGTATCCTTCGACCATTTAACCTGACTACAAAATCCAGTGTTTGGCATTTCACAGCAATCTTCCTGCAAAAGCACTGTGCTACACACAATTAATTCAACTCCAACTAGTGTTGGAACTAATAAAAGACTTCATTTTTAATGAAACAAATCACTTCAAAGCACAATAGAGAAAAGCAAATCAAGACAAAGTCCACATTTGAATCCTATAGGGATTCCATTGCTAAGAATTGGATTTCTTAAGTAACAGACTCTTGAGATTTCTGTCTCTCTCTTTTCTTTCTTCTTATAGTTTTAAAGAATAGATTTGGCCCTTTTACTCCAGAAATTTGGGTTCACTGCAGAAACAAGAGCCCCTCAACTTCCACTATGATGGGTGCTTATGGAGAAACAAATGCCTAGATCTAGAGTCTCCGTAACCCCTACCACTCCCAGGTGCTCTATCCCATGGGAGCTAGCAGTCCCCGATAGAAGACCACAAGGACTTGGCTGTAAGGATGAGCCCAAATAATGTGCGAACAAACTGTGTTATCTGCTCATAAGCCTATGCCCCGAATCACTAGAACATGAGGACTTAGAAATCTCTGAGAATATCTTTCAAACACATACAACATAGACTATTGCATATCATTGCATATGAGGTCAAAATTTTAAAAGCCCTATTTCCCCAGTTAGAAGCAGGGATTTCTATCATTAGTATGTCTCCTTCATTTATACCCAGATTAATATAACCACAGTCTGGAGGTAACACTTCATTCCAACTTAACTTCATTTTAGCAGCATACACAGAGTACTGACACTTTGCAAAGGTTTTCTCTCAGATCCACTAGGTATACAAGAGACAAGAAATAATTGTAGGGAGGCCTGGGTTTGTATGATTCTCTCAGAATCTCTTCTTGGATTCTTCTTTTACAGGGTTTCTCTACCATATAAGCATTGTTAAAAAAAAAAAAAGCCAACACTCGAGGCCAGGTTTGCCCATAGTGGGAGTTACAGAGTGACCCAATCCCATTCAACTCTAAGCTTCATGCAAGCTAATAACCATGACCATTACCAGCAAAATGACTAACATTTGTTTTAGGTAATGTTTGACCTGAGACCCTAGTAAAGTCAGTTTTACAAACGAAGGTAAAGCAGAATATAGAAGGGTAGAGACAAGGAAAAAGAGACAACGGGATGCTTTATACAGTAGGTTCTGTACAAGGAGATACAAGGATACCAGTATGATATATATCATTTAATTAACAACAAAAAGGCTATTTTTAGTTCTGAGTTAAGCCTTTAATTTTCTAGTTATCTTCCTCAGCTCAGTCACTCTTCCTTTTCCCCACAACCCCCAAATCATGCTGCAGTCCTTGAAGGGTTAGCCCTCCTAAAGAGTGATTTTCTAACTCTTCTTTGACTCTGTGAAACTCCTATAAGCAAAAACACCCACAGAAAAGTAAACTTTTTTTAAAGGCTAAAAGAGCAGGGTTTTTTTTTTTTCCTGCCTTTATTCATTTTCAAAATCTGCCAAGCTCTCTTCTGCAGAAAATAAACTATCCCTTTAACTAACATAAAAGAATGAGTTGGTTGTACTCTGAGCTACCTTCCTCTTTCCCTCTCTACCTTCTGGAACCGTTTCTTAGGGACAGACTATGTGTGATAGGGCTTCTCAGGGCCATAGGGTATATTAGCAGGGCAGAGAAGGAATAGTGCTGAAGGAGGCATCATCCAGTTGCCCTTGCCAGTCTTCTACTATACTGGCTGGTAGGCTCTCATTTCACATTTGGCTGGGAGATTACCTAAGAATTTAGAAGACTGACCCTTTTTGCACATATCCAGATTTGGAAGATATGAAGACTACAAGCACCAAGACCTAGTGTCACTGGAGCCAGAGCTAGTTCACAGAAGCCTCTTGCCTGAGAAACTTTTCCTGTCCCACTCTACTGATACATATGTGTAAAAATTTTAATACAGAACACATAGGCAATTACACTTCAATACTGTTGACAAGAAATAGTAGTGTAACAAAATCCTCCATGTAACAAGAATATGAATTCTCCTAAGTGGCCCACTTATTTAATGGGTATTGGAAAAAACAATAGTATAACTAAAGACAATGTAGATCCTGAGAGTACATTAGGATTCGGCCTGGATTTTTAAAATAACACACCACTCAAAAAGTGCTTGGGACCCTAAAAGGTTTCCCACAAGAGCTTTTTACTGCAGAAGGGTCCTTGAGTGGCTAAAGCAGTACCTACTCTCATCAGGTAACCCTCAAAGCACTCAGCAATTTACATTCCCAGCAAAACAACCCCAGTGCCCTACTGCCTCCATCCCAGCATCTAAGGGGATGTATAAAGATAACTGTATAATCAGCTTTAAATAGGAAAGACAGGAGGTAGCTAAACTGACCTATGGGTGCCCTTTTGGTGTGGCTGGACACATCCTAACAGTCCAGGTATCTCTTGAGCATCAAGTTTGGCCTCCTTCAGTGTTAAGTGTTTTGATTTGCATTTATCTGTAATGGAAGAGCCACAGATACTTGGGAAAAAGTTTTATCTCTGAACCCCAGGAGTGGACTGGATAGCTACTCTTCATTCCACAAATGAAAATCATTGACCCCACTTCTTCATCAAACACTTTTAAAAAAGAGAAAAACAAAACGATCCCGTTTGTACTTGGTGCAGGGAAGCAATAATGTTCATGGTTAGGAATCCTGGGGGGACTTTCTTGCTTCTTGGCCTATTGAGTCTCTAAGTTGAAGGATCTTTTTAGGGGCACCAAATGAGCCTGAATTTGTATCTAGAACAGTGTTCAGCATAGTGACATGCACAGGGTTGGCCACATTAATGTCAGATTGCAGAAGGCTACTGCAGACTACTTACTACTTTCTTGTTGAAGAAAATCTTGGGAACCATTTATCAAGAGCCTAAAATTTCCCTATTCGGTCTCTTAAGAACAATGAAAAGGCATTTTTTAATTAAAGAAAATTGTAGGCACATAAAAATCTCCCAAGGATGAAAGACATTAAAGTTTTCCTTGGTTTCACTCCTACCCTCAATGCTACCTGTGAAAGAAAATATGGAAGCAGGGCCAGGCCTGGTGGGAAAACCTATGGAAATGCGCTGGGACAGCCTGAGCCGTGATGGCACTAAGCTAAAACAAGGAAGTCAACCTTCTGCACTCTGTCTTTCCTATAATGCTGAGACATATTTTCCTTATTAGGAGTTAAAACAAGTGGTAACAAAGTGGCCCAGGCCTATGCTGGGCAGAAAAGGAGACTTTCTGTCAGCCCTAGTCTGTGCTGTAGGTCACGTCTCACATAGCTTTGGAAGAATGGGTCACTTGCCAGTGAGTTTTGTGTTAGGAAAGGGATAATGATCTGAAGGTTATCAAAGCAAGAAGTGAAGTGAAATGAAAAGAAAAAGGGTTCCTGCGGGGCATCTGGTATAAAAAGCACAGGTTGTGCCACATACTCTAGGAATACAGAGAACCCATGCAAGAAAAGCTGCCCCTGAAAGGAGGGCAGATGTCTGGCACGAGCCCATCCCTTGGAAAGCTAAGGTAGCAGTAGAATCTCTACCCAACAAGGATCCTGAGAGTTGGCTCTTCATTCATTCTAGGAAAAAAGCTTCCTTTAATGGTTCTTCCTGCAGCTCCCCCAAACTGGTCTTGGCGAGGCCCCACAGGCAGAGAGAACACATCTAGCTAGGAGGCTTCCATTAACTTTCCTCTCATAGATGTATATATATATGTCTATATATATATATATATATATATAATTTTTTTTCTTAAAAATAAATTCCATGAACTCATAAAGCTCTCGTCTGCAATCAAATGCAAAAGCAGAGCATCCTACTCAAAGGCTCTGAAACACACATATCAGCCTCAAAGCAAATTAGCCTTCCAGTCTTAAGTAAGACTGATCCAGTCCAGAAAGGCAAGGGAGGTGCTTCTCTTAAATCCTGGGAGGCAGGAAGGGATCCCTTCAGATAGGCTTGTACAGCAGAGTAGTGACATACTTCTTCTTGTAGCGATGGGTTGCACTAAGGACCATCACACTGTCCTGCAAGGGAAAGAAAACATGCAGCTAATTCGTTAGTTCAGATGATAAGCGGCTCTTCCCCAGCCATCAGTCCCTCAGTCTGTCACATTTAACAGAAACAGTTGATATTACAGAAACAGGTTGGTTTGGGAGTCGATTCAACTAAAATTCCAATCCTGACTTCTCTATTTGTGGCTCTGAGTAATCTACTTATGCCTTTAAGCCTTTTTTCTCATCATGACAAAGGACAACACCTACCATGAAGGTGGCTCTGATGATTATATGAAAGTATCTGGCACAGTATCTGGCACATAATAGGTGGAGAAATATTAGTCTCCTACCTCACTTCTTTCCCCACTTCAAAATTGAATATTGGGCTTAAAACTAGCATGGAAAAAAAAAAATCCTGACGTTCATTTTTAGAAGGAAGTCTAAAATGCAATGAGAAGAAATGGCAGTGATCCTTCCTCCCCACCCATTTCCAAGCCCCAAAGCAGGTCTGATTTCCACTTAATACCAGGGATGAACTTAAAAAGTTCGTTCTAATCAAAAGGAGACTCAGGAATCCCTCTACATCCTTGAACAAAGTGGACCCCAAAAACTTCTTTGGAAAGACACTCAATCCGATGGATCAACTCCAAACAGCCTAAACAATCTGACAGAACCAGGAATGGGTCAAGGCCAAGCTGAATCACAGTAATCAAGACCTGGACCTGGGTCAGAACCAATATGAAGAGTAAGAGGTACTCTTTTCCTGGCTGTGTTAGCTCAAGAGTATGACATGGGAGATGGTAGCCCTGTGAGAGTATCAGTTGATAGCCAAGGAGCAGTTACAGGAGGCAATACTCAGTCTGATCCCACGGAGCTCCAGGAAATCCAACTGAGAAGCCAATGCATCTTCCCATTTTCCCATATGCTGTATTATCTACAATGAATGCTTCTCAGATTAACCTTCTATGACCAGACTATGCTGGTCATAGCTTAAATATGACAGAAGTTAGGCAGGTAAAAAATTCAACTCCAGGTAGGGTTTGATAGAGATGAGAAGCAGGTGAAAGAAAGACCTACTTGGAAAGACCTGAAGCAGTGATCTCTAGGAAAAGAACATGGAATGAGGACAGGAGGACCTCCGTCCTCTCTCTGGTACTTACTGGCATTATGACCTTCTCTGAGCCTTATTTTCTTTTATCTATAAAACAGGGGTTAAAAATAATACTTACCCACAAGGTTATTACAAAAATTAAATTCAGTAATATATATTTGAAAAGTACTACATAATCTGCTAAAAATAGCTGTATCAGTGATCTCTCTAATTGGGATGCACATCTAAGAAATATAAGCAGCTTAAAAAACAATTACTGGGGATCCATCCTAGTTGCACTTATTCAGAATCTCTGGGGAGGTAGACTTTGAATGGTAGTTTTACAAATTTCCCAAGTGATTGTGATGATAATCAGCCTAGTCCAGTAACTACAGAGCTCATAAACCTATGAGCTATAAAACCTCATTCCAAAAGCCAAACCACAAAAACATGACAAGATTGAATGTGTATTTTCAACCCAGACTCTAAAGCAGGATAGAAACTAAAAAGGACTCTAGAATTGGAGGGGACAGAGCAAATGTGGTCACATTTCTCCTTTACCTGGTGCAGAAAACGATGGAGCCAGTGAGTGTATATGACTGAAGAACCCAAAAGCAGCTCACATCCACCTTTAAAAGTCAAACGTCTAAATCACATTCAAGCAGTCTCTGAACTAGAGGATAAACTTGCTTTGTCTGCAAATGAAATCCTAGTGCTAATGAACTCTAATTTAATTGAGTAGGTCGTGCAAAGGTTATAGCTATCCAAAAAGAAAGCAGGAAGAAAAAAGTTCATTCAGTCACAGGGCAATTCAGCTAGCCAGAACATCAGGATAGGGACTAAGATTAAAAACAAACAAACAAAAAACCCATCTACTAGTTTAAAAAAAAAAAAGAAACTTCTTTTCCTATAATTTGACCATTACAGCCAGCTTTAGCTTCAGTGAGGTAGCAGGGCAAGTAACCACTGGAGAACATCTGTTACCCTTGCCTTCCCATTTTGGGAAGAGCCAGGCCCACCACTTACCTTAATGGACAATGCATAGAGATGGTTTAGCATAACATGATTGGGCTCAGGAAGCAAGGCTGGGTCACACTAAGGAGGAAAAAAAAAATCACTGACTAAGGTTAAATGCACAGTTTTAAAGCAAACAACTTACTCTTCCTTAGAGCTCTTTGGAACTGTTGAGGAACTCTATACTAGAATATGTATTTCTTTTAAATAATACACTCAACCTAATATATATCAATCATTATGTTCTCATTACAGAGAATTAGGAAAATTCTGAGTCCAGGGCAGAAACTCTATACCTTCGCTTCTATTTATCTCCCTTAACAGAGCTAAAACAAAAATCTTGCCCACAACATATATAGATTTGTGTTAAGAGGCAAAAAATAATCTTAGTGGGAATCAAGTAAATTGACTAGAGATGTAAATTATATGGACCAAAAAAACCCAACCCAAACCCCTTATACTCCTTTTGTATATCCCCAGATGGTAAGTGTGCCTTATCTTGTGTTGGAACAGAAGTCCCAGAAATTGATTCTAGCAATCCATGGCTCTGGGCCTAATATTATTAGGCCCAGAGGATAACTATGACTTTTGATATCAGTACCTGGACAAGTCACAATTCAGACTTGGAAAAAGGAATCTTTAATGCTACTGATATGTATGATTTATATTCTCAACACAGCTTTGTAATAATCCCAACCTTTAGGATTACTAACTTTGGCTCAAACAGTCCTAGTAACACCAACATGCCCCAGCAATTCTCTTAGGATACTCACAGAAATATTAGTGTCCTTGTTAAGAATAACTTGAAGAAGGTGAGGAGGTAGGATGGGTGGGGATTTGAATCTCTCCTCGGATCGAAATACATACATTTCTTGACCATAAGGCCCTGGGGGAGAGCTGGAAAGGTCTGGAAGATATTTATCCAAATATAAGAGAAAGTTGGAGAGCCAGTAAAAATGTATGAAAAAACTGTCACTACATGGCAGCTAATATTAAATATGGTAGAAGTCATCAATCATATACCTGTAACCTGCTGGGTCTACCATGTAAGACAAAGAAAGAGTCTGAGTTATCCTGAACATGGACCCTGAAATTCTTCAACATGGCAACATGATGTGGAGGACAGAGGAGGAGATGAGGAGTGAAAGACGTAGGTTCAGAGAAGAACTACTCTATTTATCAAATGTATAACCTGGGACAAGTCCTTTTACTACAGTCAGTTTCTTCATTCATAAACTGACAATAATAATCCCTATCCTATTTCAAATGTTTTTACAGGAATCAAATGAGTTAGCAGATATGACAATGCTTTGTAAACTGTCAAACGATGTGAAAAAATTAGGTTTTTCCTTTTTTCCACCCAAGCAACAAACAACAAGGTTATCAACTCTAAGACTGCTGACATTACAATGATTCCAACAATGACGACAAGACTACTAACAATGTAGTAGTTGTTAGGGAAATGTAAATCAAATACCACTCTACACTCATTAAAATGGCTATGATAAAGGACACTGTAATAATTGGTGGTGAGGCTGTGGAGAAATTGGAACCTTTTTACTATCCCCATTGCTGGCAGGAATGTAAAATGGTGTAGCAGCTTTGGAGAACAATTGGGTAATTCCTCCAAAAGTTAAAATAAAGCAGTCATAGTCTTGGGAAATGAAAACACATGTCCACACAAAGACTAGACCACAAATGTTCAGAAGAGCACAGTTTATACTAGACAAAAAGTAGAAATGATCCAAATGTCAATCGGTTAATGAATGGATAAACAAAATCACATATCCATTCAGTGGAATTTTATTCAGCCATAAAAAGGAGTGAAGTACTAATACATATTACAACATGGATGAACTCTGAAAACATGGTAAGTGAAAGAAGCCAAACACCAAAGACCACATATTGTGTGATACTATTTATATGAAAAGTCCAAAATAGTTAAATCCATACAGATACCAAGTAAATCAGGAAATTGGGTGAAAGAGAGAAGAGAGAAATATCAAAAGTATGCTAGTTCTCTTTCTATATAATTTTGATTCTATGTCTCTTGTTCATCAGTTGCTTCGCCAGAATCATATAATGCAAAAACGTAGAGCTGCAAGTGGTCTCATCATTTAATTCAGTATAATTAAACCCTTGTTAACCACTGCCCCACCAGTCAAGAAGAATGTTCACCTTTATTTTCTGAGCTTATATGATGAAAATATTTGCACGATTTTCATAAACAAACAATTACTATACTGCTGGTCTTTTAGAAGCTACATAAACCACCCTTGTGCCCTGAGATTCTAATATGCTCCACTGAAGCTTGTGTCTCCTCAGCTGAGAATCACTGTGATTCTAAGCCTCTGATTTTAGTGATACGGAACTGAGAACCAGAAAGGTTGAAGACCAGTCCATGACTTCAAAGTTAGTGAGTAGCAGGCTTTGAACACACAAAGGCAAAGTGTGCTCACTGGAAATAAGGTGCCCAGTTCTTTAGATAGTTATAGCCTTTAACGTAGTATACTGAGATGGTAACTGTGGATGTGGTTAGCAAATCACTCTTCTGATGCTGGAGCAAATGTGATGAAAGCCATGGAAAAGTAACATTGGGAGAAACCAAAGGATACAGGTCTTTTCCTCTACCAAGAACATTTTTTTTTTTTAAATTTTTATTTATTTATGATAGTCACAGAGAGAGAGAGAGAGAGAGAGGCAGAGACACAGGCAGAGGGAGAAGCAGGCTCCATGCACTGGGAGCCTGATGTGGGATTCGATCCCGGGTCTCCAGGATCGTGCCTTGGGCCAAAGGCAGGCGCCAAACCGCTGCGCCACCCAGGGATCCCAAGAACATTTTTTTTTTAACCAAAACTTACAAAACTTCAGTTAACATATACACCAAAGAGTTGTGGGGTTTTTGTAACCCTTTCTCCCCAAAGGCTGCCATAGTTAGAGGACTAAATAAAAATATACTGCCAGCCAACCTATCAAACTGGCAGGATTAAACTAATGCAGCTAAACAAGGCAAACTAAACAAAACTAGCCTGGGTTGGGTAAATTGTCAAAAGGTCAATGAAAACTTGAAATATTACCAGAAGTAGATTTTTAAACTATAAAGCACTTTGGTAGCTCATGAAAGAAAGGATAAAATAGAAAATAAACTGTATCACATGGGGCAACCCCGGGTGGCTCAGCGGTTTAGTGCCATATTCAGCCCAGGGCCTGATCCTGGAGTCCTGGTATAGATAACCACGTCAAGCTCCCTGCATGGAGCCTGCTTCTCCCTCTGCCTGTGTCTCTGCCTTTCTCTCTGTGTGTCTTTCATGAATAAATAAAATATTTTTTTTTTAAAAAAGAAAAACTAAAGAAAATCCCTTAAAAGGGGGGGGGCATCACATGTGACAAAGACACACATTCTGCTGAGACTTGTGTTACAGGCATGGGGGGGTGGATGGGGAGGGAGAGAGAGAGAGAGAGAGAGAATTGAGTTATAATGTAAAACAAATGTCTTGCTGTGGATCCTAGTTAAAAAGTTTGAAATCATGGGGCACCTAGGTGGCTCAGTTAGCCTTTGGCTCAGGTCATTATCCCAGGGTCCTGGGAGAGAGACCTGCATAGAGATCCCTATTCAGCCGGGAGTCTGCCTCTCCTTCTCCATCTCCCTCAGCTCATGCTCTCTCTCACTGTCTCAAATAAATAAAATCTTTTTAAAAAGCTTTTAAATCAAATACACTGAGATTTCTTTTCTCTCAGAGAAGGAGATCTAAACGTTTAGAGGAAAAATATACATATATGTACATATAACGCATATATGATTCAGAAGATTCTTGAGGAGAAAATGAAAAGACAAAAACCACTCTTAGGAAGAAACTTGCATTGTAAGAAAAACACATTAAGAAAGAGCAAATACTACAAAATTACCTCGACAAGATGTCTCCGAGCTTTCCATTGAATCTAGTTTTAAAGCATCAAACACCTCAAAGTCAGATTTCTTGACATGGATCAAATTGTTAATTGTGCCAAGCTGACTGGTAACCACAGGCTGAAACAACGAATGGAAAACATTCATAAACCCTGTTTTAATTCATCGCTTCCATCTAACTCTCCTATTTAAAAAAATGATCATACTCAGCACCTCCATCTTTAATCAAGAGAGAAATCCTCCAGTGTAGGAGCCCATCAATCCTGACAGGAATGATGTTTGATACCAAAGGGAGTAACAGTCAAAAGAACATAGTTAAGATAATGGCTACCCTTGGAGATCAAGACCTTACCTCTGACGGATCATGAACCCACTGTCCATCCACGAAAAACTTGTACTGGTGCTCTCCCTCAGGAAGGTCTAAGATGGCAACAAAGTCATTATGGCTACAGAAGAAAACACAAAGTTAACAGGCCAAGTTCCTGTTAGAAGACAGAATGCAAATATAAAAACCATGAGACATTCACAACATCATACCAATGATCTCCCACAATCCTAAGCGATTGTTCCCCATGGAATAAAAATAATTTATAGACTCATTCTCCTTTTCTGTATCACCTTGAGCATATATTTGCCAGCCCGTCCCAATAACTTTAGTTCTTAATTAATATCTGGAAAAGAATAATAGATGTTAATCCCCCAAAATGGTTCACCTTAGTGCAACTAATTTGCTTTAGGAACAGATCCCTCACAAGTGTAAATAAGATAGCAGGTAGCTTCAGAATACAGAAGTGCCTCAAGACACCCCTTCCAAATTTTGGTGAGCCTTTTCTGAAAAAAATGACCTACATATAAATGAAGGGCCATTCTGATTAACAAGTAATTCATTATTGCTCTACAAGCAACAATTCACATTATTACCTAGAACATCATGTGTTTTGTTTTAGTGCAGAAGTCAGAGAAAGTAGACTCAGCCAGTTACAGATGACTTCCCACAAGCATAGACAGGACTTGTGTTAACACAGTCCTAAAGAATGTACCCACAAAGCTGAATAAGTTCCTCTGAGGTAATAATATTCCAACCAGTAAAACATCTCTGACTCACTGAGATTTAAAAAAAAAAAAAAAAAAAAAAGGTCACAGATGTAGTTATTGGTCACAGAAAATATTCTAGAGAGAGTCCCTAGCTGGTGAAGAGGAGTAGTCCAGCCAGGACTCTCTCCTGAGAAGGGAAATCAGGTCCCTACTCCTGGACCCTGTAGACTCAACCAAGAACACTTGTCTTCACCTCTTAATCAGTGGAATCTTGGTGCTCCAATTGTTGAAGGACCCAGAGATGAAGACCTCTTTGCCTCCTTCAGACCATCGGATAACAGTGGGCCGAGCCTGCTGTGTGGGCTTTACGGAGTCCTCCAAATCCTGTTGCCATGATACAAACTCTTTGTCCCCAGGGAGCTGTAAGAAGGATTAGGTCATCCCTAAATTGTGACCCAGGAATTCTTAAAAGGTCACTCTCCTCCCTAGGGCAGAGAGGGGTGCTATGTTTCTGGTAAGAATCAATAAGCCTTGAAATTAGCAGCTGAATCAGATTTTGAACAAACTATAGAAAAATAAGTCATCTAGGACCCAAATGGTCAAACAGCTTATGCTCAGGGGTTGACCAAATCACAACCTAACTTTAGAGTCTGCATGTATCACTCACCCTTTCAGAGCCTTCTGATCTCCCTTTAAAACAAGTTGGGGGAGGGGGTGTGCTTACTCCCAGTTACCAGATCAACCCACAGGCAGGCAATTATGATATACTTTTGAGTACCTCTTAAGAGAAAAAAATAAGAAAAAAAGTATGTTTCCATAAAAAGCAATGAACTTAGCCATGTATTTTTCATATGTAAGTATGATCAGCTCTCAATTATCGGTAGTAATGCAAGTTAGAGATACTGTAATTCGTAAATAATTAATAAACTTCATTTTAGCTAATAGGTTACAAAAGGACATTAAAAGCATAAAAAAATCATGTATCATTGGTTTTTTAAATTTTGAGAAGTGGTTATAAATCTTACTTGCTCACTCCTGGCAGGTATATACTAATTATTTCAGGAGTGAGGATGAAAACTCTGGACCCTCAAGAAACATCAGATCAAAAACAGGGCTTTTGTTTAAGGAAGCTTCCTTTGACAAAAGCCGTTTCAATAGCAAATGAGGTCTGTAAGGATTCTAAAAAGAAAAAACAAATGGACTCCTTATTTAGTTTATTTTCATTACCCTCCCTTAGAACAAAAGTTGGCAGAAGATGGTCAGTGAGCCAGATGCTTTTATAAATAAACTTTTCTTGGAAAATTGCCACACTCACTCATTTACATATTTATCTACAGCTATTTTCATGCTATAGTAGCCAAACTGTTGTGATAGAGACTGTATGGCCCACAAGGTCTAAAATATTTACTGTCTGGTCCCTTATAGAAAAAGTCTACTGACCCCCACTTCAGAATGGTTTAAATGACTTCGGTAAATAGGACTGTATTGTATCAAGTCAAAATGTCACCAAATAGAATAATGTGGGTTAAAAAAAAGGATTAACTTATTCATATGGGCTTTACTTTCAAAATGGCTATGGACTTCCATATGGTCTCTCAATATTCCTCAAAACTATACTAATGAGACACCAGTAACAGCATAAACTGAAGTAAACAGAGAATTGAAGGGACTTTCACATTACGTAAGGAAGTGACTTAAGTGAAAACCTTGATCTCCATATTCCTAAAGGAATGCACCTTTGCCTGACTGGCTGCATTAGAATCACAAAAATTTTTACATATGCCTAAGAATAACTCAGATTCTGGTTTACATATGGGACCTAGGAACCCGTTTTTAAAAAGCTTCACAGAGAATATTATTACTGTGATTATGTTAAACGAAGGAAAAAACCTCAACTTTACAGATACATCCTAAAATATTTACAGATAAAATAACATTTGATAGGATGTCTGGAATTTGTTTCAAAATATTTGGTAGGGGGAAGTGGATTGGCATAGACATGACATAAATTTGTTCTAATTTAATCATTGTTTAAACTGGGTGATGGGTATACAGGAGTTTACTATATTACTCTAACTACTTTGAAACATGGAAAATGTCTCTAATTTTCCATATAGTGTTTAAACAAATTTTAGGTGATTCTAATGTGCAAACAGGGTTGAGAACCACTGACCTAGTCCACTGAAGAGGACTGGCATTTGAAGCAATGTTGGCCCCACTGCCACTGTTTGTATGAGTTACTTTGATGATTTAGTATTTTCAAATTCGAATTTGAAAGCTACAAACTATTAATATGCCCGGCTTTGGAAGAAAGCCCTTCCACATATGACATGACATTTCTGTGGCAGGCCTGAGTGCAGCTGACTAGCAGAAAGACCATTTACTCCAAGTTAAATTGTCAGCAAAATCATTAGGAAAAGAGGCAAAACAATGAGAACTACAGTTTGAAAATATTTAAGCAAAACAATGAAGGAAGAAGTAAAGAGACTAGATTGAGAACTATAAAATTTTACATGTATAAGAGACCTTAGGAATTATCTGAACCAATTTTCTTATTCACCAATGGCAAGACTGGGGTTAGGGAAGGAAGGAACCAAAATAGGCTCCATTTCAGATGGAGCAACCTGGCTTTTATTCAGCACACCAATTATTGCAGTCAGTTTGACAAATACACTGTACTTAAATCCTGAGTCATTGACATAGGAAAAGGGTAAAATTAGGAGGTGGATCACCTTGAGAAAGCTTCTAAGGAAATTCAAAATGACTGGCTAGATGGCCCAAATGCTGAGAAAGAAGTTCTAAAGTGGGAGAAGGAAGAAAGGAATGGAGAAGAAACCCCAAGATGGTTCTTTTAACCACCTTCACTTCTTTTTCTGTAGTTATGTTTTCAACTGGGATTCAAGAAAATAAACAGAATCCAAATTTCATGTGCTACCAATGGGGCAAATCATTTCTTTACTCCCTAAAACCCCAATTTGGTGAAAGGTTTGAAGTGATAAAAAAAAAACATCAAACAAACACACCTGAATCTCCTCAATCCCTCCATTTTTTCTACTTCCTCCCACTCGGACTGCCTGGAGGGATTATTGTTATTTCATGCTGACAGCTCTAAATGGGACTAGAAATAATCGGATGGTAATCCCATTGCAGTCAACTCTATCTAATCTCCGGGTGGGCACAAGCTGCCGCTTTTCTGGAAGTCCTTGGGTTTGAGAGCCTGCCCGGCAGCTGCGGGTTGTCCGTTTTCAGCGATGGTAACGTCATGAATTCCTACTGGAAGAGGAGAAATCCTGGATCGTCTGCTCTCCCAGTTGACCAGCAGCTGGGTGTGAAGGAAGCACCTCAGCCACCGCAATATAAAGGATGAGATGAAAACTGAGCAGTCAGCCAAAGGAAGTCCTTTACTGATCTCCAAGACGAGGAGAAAGTATCAAATAGGCAAGTGGTTGCTGCTCACAATCCTGCCAAAGGGGAAGAGGATCCGAAGTGCCGGGTTCTTAGAAGAGCAAAAATGATACTGATACCTACAGGTTATCAGAAAAAAGAAATTCATTTGCCTGCCTCAGGATAAACCTGAGAAACTGTCTCAGATGATCAGCCACTCAGGCAACCTACCGTCTTTTAAGTTTTCTACCAGGGTCTATAGGGTTCACAACCTATAAACTCATCAATACTCTCCAAGAGGGCTCCTGCCTGTTCGGGAAACCAGGGATGGGTGTGTGTGTGGGGGGGGGGGGGCGTTGGGTGTGTGGGTGGCGTTGGGGACACTCTACAGTCCCCATCGTAAAAATACGGCCAGCAGGTCAGGCGAACAACAGAAACTCCGCCTCTATAGTATTTTGAGGCAGCACCGCAGGCGTAAGTTACCCTCCAACATCTCCGTCCCCCCCCCCAGCCCCATCCCTTTAGTTCAGAAAACCGTAACCGAGGTCAGTGTGGTAAGGAGGAGCTGGACAGCCGGCCCGCCGCCGCTGGGCCGCCGGGGCGCGGGGAGGCTCACCTTGGGGTCCGGCAGGCTGAAGACGCTGGGGTCGTCCGTACTCCCCACCATGATCTTGTGCTCCTTGCCCGGCGCGTGGCCGCCGGCGCCCTCGGCGCGAGAAGCCTTGGCGCCGTGGCGCTCGCCAGCCACCCGGTCGCTGGTGGTGTTTCCCATGGCTGTAGCTCGAGTCGGGGGCCGCCTGCCGGGGCCAACAACACGGGGCTTCAGCACCCGGCGGCCGCGTCGGGGGCGCCCCCCGCTCCGCCCCTGCGCCTGGGGACCCGGGCCAGGGAACCCCCGCCCCAGGGAAGCCGTGCCCGGGGTCCCCCCCTTCCTCGGCCTCCGGGAGCGCCCGGGGCCCCCCGCCCCCCGCCTCTCGACGCCCGCTGCCGGGGAAACCCACGTCGGGGAACTCCCCGCATCCCCGCGTTCACTGCCCGGGGGCGCCCCCACCCCAGTCACCTCCCGCGATGCTCTGCCTCCTCCCCTGGCCACTCGTGAGGTGGCTGTTCTGCGGTTACGTCCACCAATAAAGTTATTGAAATTGAAGCCGCGCCCCGCGCCAGAGATCCGGGTTTCCTCCTAAAATGGCTACGAGGCCAGGGGCGCCAGGCCCGCCCCGCGCGCGTTCCCTACGGCCGCGCGGCGACGGCTCCCGAGCTCGCCGGCCGCTCTAGCCGCCACCGCCGCCTCGGTGGTGGGCAGCCTCCCGCGCCAGGCGGGGGCGCCCGCTCCGCGTCGGGCTCGGGCTGGGCGGGGCGCGGGCTCCGCCGACGCCGACCCGGAATCCTTGGCGCGGTCAGCCGCGGGCCGGCCTTCCGGAGGAGACGGTCTCCGGGGGCAGCAGGGCCGCCCTCGCGGCCTCAGGTGCTCCGTCCCCGGAGAAGCGGCGCTGCCTCCCTGCCGCCCGCCTCACCTGGCTTCAGGTTAAAGAGAACGCTCTCTGGGCAACCCGGACAGGCGGGTTCCTCCGGGGATTTAGAGACCGTATTTCCTACTGGAATCAGAAGGAAGTAGCGGCGACTGCTTGAGGTACCTACCAGCTGGCTGCGGGGGGCAGCAGCCAGCCTCGACTGGGGCCCCAGTGAGGAAGGAGTAATTAGGAGAGAAACCTTGACGGACGCGTGAAACCAGTCTGAAGAGGAGGAGAAAGCTATTCTGAGCTGAGAAACAGCGAAATGCAACGAGCAACCCCAAAAGAAGTACCATTCGAGGAAGACCAACAAGGGGAGAAGGAACAGTGAGAGCAGGAAGGGACAAAGATTGGCCTCGGGTTGGAACGGATCTAGGTTTTTGCCGATGATTAATGGAACGTGTGTGGTATTTACTAATTCATTCTTTGTGTTATAATTGTGCGCATTTCTGATTCCCTACCGGAAAGCGTTATCACGCAATGTGTGTTACACAGACCGGCAGCTTTGCCATCACCTGGGAGCTGGCTCGAAGTGTAGAATCTGAGGCTCTATCCTACGGGATCAGAATCTGCATTCTAACAAGATCCTCAGGGGAATGTGTATACACATTAAAGTGTCAGAAGCACTGCTTTGAAGGCTGGCAGAGAGCAAGTCTAGTTTTGATTCCTCTTCCTGTTCTGCATGCATCTTGTCCGGAGTCAGCTTTTATTTATTTATTTTTTTTAAGTTTTTTTTTTAATTTTTATTTATTTATGATAGTCACACACACAGAGAGAGGCAGAGACACAGGCAGAGGGAGAAGCAGGCTCCATGCACCGGGAGCCCGACGTGGGATTCCATCCCGGGTCTCCAGGATCGCGCCCTGGGCCAAAGGCAGGCGCCAAACCGCTGCGCCACCCAGGGATCCCCCGGAGTCAGCTTTTAATAAATATTTACACAATGAAGGGTATAATACCGTTTACTACATTTCTAACAAGATAATACCACTTAAACAGCGATGGGGGAATGCCAAGTCGTACAAGGCCACCCTTTTTGAATGAACAGCTTTATTTTGTTGAAAAGTTTATATTTCATTAAAAAAAAAACCATACACTTAGGTTTGACAAATTCGCTTCTCTGCCTTTTGTCTTTCCTCTGCCCTAGTAAACTCAGAGATTCTCTGGTTCTTAACCAAAGACAGTTTGCAGAAAAAAGAAGGTTGCGGATAACATTTTTACTGTGACCTTTTGCTCCTCCCTCCAAAATCTCCACTGCCTGGTTACCTCCTTTTTTGGTCCCTACTGTTCCCCTCTCTACCACTTCCGTTCATTCTTTCCACTGCTCTCTGCAGCAAGGCCTCTGAAGGGAGTAATGCATTGAATCTTGTGTACTATTCAGGTTTCTAACCACAGGGTAGTTTCTCTATGCCAAATAATAGTTCCTTACACTAGTCAAATCAGCATAGCAGAAGCAAACCAGATATTATATTGGCGAATGGAAAACTTATTAAGTAGAGAAACTTCTTGTCTAAATAGAAATGACTTTTGGGTCATCTCCTTTGGGGGATTACCCATGACATCGTCTTGCTCTAGTAGCATTTATGAGTCAGTCAATAGTTATATTGCATATATGGATATACATTATGCAACTATGCATAATATGCATAATTATATGCATATTGCACATTCAGACAGTAATTAACACTGTTATCCTACAGTAATTAACATCCTACAGTAATTAACACTGTAGGATGGATTAATTGCTTCTCTCCAGTCCCAAGTTTGTTTGTTTGCTGTCACTCCAGTATTTTCTCTTTCCTTTAAGAGGGAAGGAAAAGGAGGTAACAAAGTAAACTGGGGGGGGGTTCTCTTGATGTTACTGTGTCTCATGCCATTGCCACTCATTCTCCTCAGATCAGCCGTTCTGCCTGATAAACAGAGGAATAACAGAGAGCATGGGAAGCATAGCACAGTAAGCTTTTAGGTACACTGCTAAAGGTGTCCTTCTGAGAGTTAAAGATGTGGGAATGGGAGAAGAGTATACTGATTTTACAGAACTTGATGACAGGTTAGATTAGGCATCTGGAGGTTTACATTCCCATTTCCCCTCCCACTTGTGGTCAGGGATGAGTAGGATATCTCATCTTGGTGATTTACATTTCAAAAGGCAACCTGATATTTTTTTATAAAGTCAAACGTTCACTTAACATGTAGTTTAGTAATCCCACTCTAAGGTACTTATCCAGGGGCAGCCTGGGTGGCTCAGTGGTTTAGCGCCGCCTTTAGCCCAGGGTGTGATGGAGTCCCACATTGGGCTCCCTGCATGGAGCCTGCTTCTCCCTCCACCTGTGTCTCTCATGGATAAATAAATAAAATCTTAAAAAAAAAAAAAAAAAGGTATTTATCCAGGTGAAATAAAGATGGGTTCACACAAAAACCTGCACACAAAACTTAATTTGTACAAAACGTATGTGGCTTTATTCATATTTATTCCCAAATGGAAACAACACAAATGTGCTTCACCTGGTGAATCGATGAACAAAATGTGGCATAGTTGTAAATGGAAAACTACTCAGTAATAAAAAGGATTAAACTCTCCATACACACATGGATGAATTACAGATGCATCATGGGGAGTGAAAGAAGCCAGATTCTATCTACATGACATTCTGTAGAAAGCCGAGGATCAGAAACAGAACCATGCCTTTCAGAAGTTGAGGATGGGAGGGCAGGGGTTGACTACAAAGTGCAGGAGGGAATTTGGGGGGGGGGGGACGACAGAACTGTGTCTGCCAAAATTTACAGAACTGTACAATTAAAAGGGTGAGTTTTATTGTAAAAAAAATTATACCACAGGGGTGCCTGGGGGGCTCAGTTGGTTAAGCATTTGCCTTCAGCTCAGATCATGATCCCAGGACCTCTAGTTGGGCTTCCTGTCCAATAGGGAACCTGTTTCTCCCTCTCCTGATCCCCCTCCCTGCTTGTGCTTTCTTTCTCTGTCAAGTAAATAAAATCTTTAAAAAAATTATACCTCAATAAGAAATGAAAACAATTTAATACTATTTTTTCTTCTTTTTTTAGCATTCAGCACTTTATTAGTTGTGTTTAACACAACTCATCACTTGTGTGCTCATCACATCGCATGCCTTCCTTAATGCCCATCACCCAGTTACCCCATGCCCTGCCCCCCACTGCCCCTTCAGCAACTGTCAGTTTGTTTCCTATAGTTAAGAGTCTCTCATGGTGTTTCTCCCTCTCTAATTTCTTCCCATTCAGTTTTCCTTCCCTATGATACTCTGTGCTGTTTCCTATATTCTACATATGAGTGACGCCATATGATAATTGTCTTTCTCTGACTTATTTCGCTCAGCATGATACCTTCCAGTTATATTGATAATGGTAATTGGTGCAAATGGTAAGTATTCATCCCTTCTGATGACTGAGTAATATTCCATTACATATATATATATATATATATATATATATATATATATATATATATGTCAGTGGGACACCTGGGCTCTTTTCCATTGTTTGGCTATTGTGGACATTGCTGTTATAAACATTGGGGTGCAAATACCCCTTCAGATCACTATGCTTGTATCTTTGGAGTAAATACCTAGTAGTGAAATTGCTGGGTCATAGCATAGCTCTTTTTTTAACTACTTGTGGAACCTCCATACTATTTTCCAGAGTGGCTGCATCAGCTTGCTTTCCCTCCAACAGTATGAGAGGGTTCCCCTGTCTCCACATCCTCCCCAACATTTGTTGTTTCCTGAGTTGTTACTTTTAGCCATTCTGACTGGTGTGAAGTGGTATCTCACTGTGGTTTTGATTTGTATTTCCCTAATGCCAAGTGATGTGAAGTATTTTTTTTCATGTGTCTGTTGGCCATTTGTATATCTTCTTTGGAGAAATATTTATTCAGATATGTGTTATTGTCATTTCTAACAAGAAATATTTATTTGGCATTTATCCCACTTCTGGCACAGAGCTCCTGAAACCCTTGGAATTTCCTAAGTGCCTACTACAGTTGTCTCTTGTTATGTTAACCAAGTGACTATTTTTTATTTTTTTTATAAATTTATTTTTTAATTGGTGTTCAATTTGCCAACATATAGAATAACACCCAGTGCTCATCCCGTCAAGTGCCCCCCTCAGTGCCCGTCACCCAGTCACCCCCACCCCCCACCCACCTCCCCTTTCCCCACCCCTAGTTCGTTTCCCAGAGTTAGGAGTCTTTCATGTTCTGTCTCCCTCTCTGATATTTCCCACTCATTTTTTCTCCTTTCCCCTTTATTCCCTTTCACTATTTTTTATATTCCCCAAATGAATGAGACCATATAATGTTTGTCCTTCTCGGATTGACTTATTTCACTCAGCATAATACCCTCCAGTTCTATCCATGTCGAAGCAAATGGTGGGTATTTGTCGTTTCTAATGGCTGAGTAATATTCCATTGTATACATAGACCACAGCTTCTTTATCCATTCATCTTTCGATGGACACCGAGGCTCCTTCCACAGTTTGGCTATTGTGGACATTGCTGCTATAAACATTGGGGTGCAGGTGTCCCGGCGTTTCATTGCATCTGTATCTTTGGGGTAAATCCCCAGCAGTGCAATTGCTGGGTCGTAGGGCAGATCTATTTCGAAGTGACTTTTAGAAGGAGGGACCAACTTGGGTAGTTTAGAGGGCTGGAAATTTCAGTCCCACCCCACTGACCTTCAGGAGTAGAGAGGGTCTGGAGGTTGAATCAATTGCCAATGGCCAATGATTTAATCAATCATGCCTGTGTAATAAAGCCTTCATAAAAACT